TAACATTAAAACAGCATAATTGCATGTTCGGATTTTTGTTTTTCCATATATTTTTCTTCATATGTGTGTGTGTGTATATTGACAAATGGAAATGTTTCATGAAATACATTTGACTGAAAATAAATTTGATAATGGATTTCGCTATTCAAGGCTTCATCAAATCCGAAAACGAAAGAATGAAATGTGTGTCTGTCTATTTGTGCGCAGGCTTAAATAATGAATCTTAGTACTGTCCCTAAGATGGCGTTTCTGAAGGATTATATGAGAATTTGGCTCGGATTTACTTCAGAAAAGGCCAAATGAATCTTTTGCCCTCGATTCACAAAATCATGGGAAAATATATTATTACAGCTATTTCTATCAAATTGGGGGAGGACCCTCTTCTCATTATCGGAGTGGTTCGAGGACAGAAGATTCAGTTGGCCTTTTCTAAAATGAATCCGTGACAAACCCGCATATAATAATTTTTTCAATTAAAATATTTCTTTAGACATTGAAGTCTTTCTAGAGGACAAAACGCGTTATATTTTTGTACTTTTTATATGGTATAAGGCCTGTTATATATAATGAAATGAAATGGACAAAGTCCGACAATTATTTTAAGATAATGTTTATGTTTATACGTTTTTTATAAATACAAATATTTAAGTAAATGTTCTGTTTATAATAAACAGTATTAACGACATTTACCGGCCTGAATGTCCGAGAAATTGTCATAGAAAATATGCTTCATCGACAAATCGGAACTAAATGAATCCTTAAAGTTGATGTCTCCTTGTACACTGTCCACAATGGCAATAGCTTACAGACATGACCGACAGCATCCAGAAGACACCGGGAAGCGGTAGACATTAAAAAGAGCCGAATGAAAGCGTAACTAGAACCCTTTAGAAACTGCAAAGGATGAATCAGCCTTCATGCATAAGAGCTGATGGGATAATGGTAGACCCCGACATAGTCAAAACAACCTTGCCTAATGACCAAGGATTTAAAGCATACGCCAAGATACCAAAACATATTCTCATAGAAGTCTATTTTCGAAAAGTTCTTGAAAGTATTGAGATACCTCAAGAATACAGACTGTAAAACAAATTCTCTGACGAGAAAATTAAACTATCGAAACTACTGGAAACCTAAGGAGTCAAAAGTTGATGTCAAGGGTACATTCAGAACCAAAAACCAAGCTCAGATCATGGGTGACACACTCCCATTCTTCCACAAGGTTGATAAAAGTGTAGGTACTGAGACTTACTATAGGGCGTTGGAATATATATTTGGTCGTGAATCACAACGACTTACCCAGAGGGAAACTATGTAGGGACTCAAAACGGTGCATCCAAACCCAAAGCTTAACATTTCTAGCTAGCGGACGTCTCTTCCTTCTCCAGCATGAACCCTGTGAAATATTTTAGAACAAGCTACTAAAAAGACTTGCAACCATTGTATACCCTGCCATTAAGTTGGAGTGGCCTAAAATGCCCATGGTCGTTGTAGATAAGAGTGGAGCTGCTTCTCAATGTTGTAATGTCTATAAAATAATAATGGTAGCCACGTTGAAGAAGTTATTCGTTTTCATATTATATATAAATTTTTATTAATAAGTCTATTAATTCATAAATGACTTTTGAAGGTCGCGGCAATTTTGCAAGATATTTTTTCTTCTCCCGCCAACTATAATCGGCGTGATCCTCATTGTCATATAAAATGTGAAACCATTTCTCGGCGTATAAGAAGCAAACCTGGAAAGTGTGAGGCGGATGTGGAGGGACCGTTGCTGGATGTTTCATCAAAAAATTTGATTCGTCACACAAACGAACTATGTCATCGAGGCACAGACTAACGAAAACAGACAATCAGCGAACGACGCATGCGCACTGCTAAATATCTGCTACAATTTACTGCAGAAACTGCCGTGTGCGAACGGAAACACAGGGTCACTTATATATTTAATTATAAATGTTAATGTCTGAATATCAGGGTGAGTATTTTGATATCTTCAAATTGTGGGAAGTTCTTACCAGCCAAGAAGTGTTGCATCGCAGAAAAAAAAGTAATAGTTTTGAAGCCGATAGATTTGGAGACGATAAATAAGGTAAAACGACTTCATATGCCAATAGAATTTCTGTTACGAGGATATTGCAAAATAACGTTACTTGTAGATGATTTAGTCGAAAAAAGGACTTTGTCCGAGCAGTGTGTGTTTTTTTTAAAACGACCCAGCAAAAGTTCATCACGGTATCCATTAATTGGAATATATTCAGATTGTAAGAACGTGATTACATATTTCACTGATATAGATTATAGATTATAACTGATTGAAAACTGCACCTGGGGATTGCATTATGCATGATACTCATTGTTGTGCCACTGGTGAAGAAAAAATTATCATATTTATTATAAAACCCAGGTTGTGTGTGTGTGTGTGTGTGTTTGTGTGTGTACATTTATATATTGGATCGGATTTCCTACATTTTTCAACCGATTTCGACAAAACTTCACAAACTACGTAAAATTACCTTGCGATGGTTCTTCCAAAAATTGGAAAAACACAATTGTTTTTGCATGAAATCAATTTGAAAACACAATTAAGAGTCATCGCTGTCGAGAATGAAAGGGGGACAACTCATATTGAATTATACTTAAAACCCAGGTTGTTTGTGTGTGTTCTTTTATATATGGGATCGGATTTCCTACATTTTTCAACCGATTTCAACAAAACTTCAATTTTTGGGGAGGAGGTATTGTTTCTTATTGTCTTACACACTTTTTTCTTTATTTTTACATTCAGAATGCTTTAAAAATTCCATTTACAAGACAATTGTTTATAATAAAATTCTATTCAATAGGTAGACTCATAACGATTGAAAACAATGTTTTGTTTGTGTTTTGGTTTGACCAATTTGTAAAAAAACACCAAAAAAAAAACAAAAAACAAAACAAAACAAAAAACTTATTAAGACATGCGTGTCCATCAACCTTAAACAATAATCTTTGTTAATTTTATTTTTCAGTCTTTATGATGGTCGATACTTGATCTATCTCTTACTTTTATATCCCCGGGCAACACCGGGCTCTACTGCTAGTAATTAATATAAATCATACCTCTATTATTGTATACAGCGCACTGTTTTATTAGCATAAGCACTAACTGTGTAATATTTTATAATTCATATATATATATGCTGTATATATCGTAATTCGAATTCATTCTAACTATTAAAAAAAACCCTCCATGCATAAGAGCGTCTGAGATAATGGTGGGTCCCTACAACCTCGCATAATGACGAAGGCCTTGAAGCATTCACCAGGATGCCAAGAAATCTCCACAAAGTGCTGAGGGACATCAAGAATCCAGAATCGACTGTCAAAACAAATTCTTTGACGAGAAAATGAAATTATGGAAATTACCAGAAACTCAACGTGTCAGCAGATGATGTCAAGGGTACCTTCAGAATCAAACATTCGGCTCAGATCATGAGTGGCATGCTCTTATTCTTCCACAAGGTTGGTAAAAATGTAGGTGCTGAGACCTACTATAGGGTTGTAGGGTATGTTTATATATCACTAGCAGCATGGCCCGGCGTTGCCGGTGCTTGATTCAAAAATCGTACGACTCATACAGCAATCGCTATCACTTGACTTAAAATATTTTTGCCCTTCCTTGCCTTTAAAGAAGTGCCCTTTGCTGTGCTGATCTTGCTACATGCCTTACTTTTTGCCTATCTCATACTGCGATTTTTTTCTAAGCTCTATACTAAACATTAAATCTGTTACAAAAAAAGAACTAAACAAAATGAACACAAAACGACCAGCTTTAAAAAAGGACTCGTAACTGGAAAAACCGAATGAAAAAAGAATGTTAACAACAAATACTTTTTTACACCCAACCCAATTCTGCAGGATCAGAATCAACGTTGAGTTTAAGCAAGCGAATGAGCCAATTGGAGTAAAATGCCATGCGGATTTAAATTTTCCCACTTGTGACGAATGCATATATCGATTTTTTGCATGCTTGCATCCTAGTTAACATTCGTGTCACTCAGCTGTTAGCTTTCACGGTGGCCAATAGAATCTTCCTGCCTATTCGTGGCAGCCAGCTATAGGCTCTCACTTTGGCCAGTAGAAAATGGCCGCAAACTACATGAAAAGTGCCGTAGAAGCATGAAAAAAACGATTATTTCCACTATCGATGGGAGCTGAGAAATGCAAAGTCGGTTTTGGCCTTCCCACTAACATGGAACATGTGCATGTAAATTTTGGTTCAAATCCGTCGAAAATTGCGGCCGTGCATTCGTTACACACACACACACACACACACACATTCTGCCTGTTATAGATAGAGATAACTGGAAAAGCTACATAACACCCCCCATATGCAACACGTTGTCAAAAGTCTTTGAGATATCTAAGACAATGACTCTTGTGTGCCAATTACTGTTTCACTGATTCTGTGTATACTGACAGTTAAAACATTACTGTAGATCTAGAGGAGCGAAACCTATACTGTTTATCTCTTATGGGCCTGTTTCTGGAAAGATGTGTAATTAGCTCCTTGTTAATAATAGCCTCACGATGTTTGCTAATGACATTGAGCACTTTGATGGCGCAATATTACGACAAAGATGGACGCTAACTCGCATTGAGCATGCAGGGTATACAGCTGAGACATTTCATAAACTTTTTTTTCTTCAAGCAGCGGTTAAGCAACGTTGCAAAGAATGGATGAGGAACAAAATGGTTTAAATGCTGATCAATGTTCTGCGTAAGTTTATGTGGATCTAAATTTCCGATTTTCTTCCATCTGTTATGGCAGCTGACATACAAGAGTTCACGGAGTGCACCGACAAGAAAGACATTTTCTAAGCTTTAGTTGCTATTGTGTAAAATATGTCATCCGGAAATTTTGACACAACTAAAACTCTGATGAAGATTTGTGAGGGCATTGCCACGTCAATTTTATGCTATTATTTGTTTACAAACTGTTATCGAGAGAAATAGACTGAGATAGATAGATAGATAGATAGATAGATAGATAGATAGATAGATAGATCATGAACAGAATTAGATAGATAGATAGATAGATAGATAGATAGATAGATAGATAGATAGATAGATAGAAAAGAAGAAATAGCCATAAAGAAAGAAACAGACTGAGATAGATAGATCATGAACAGAATTAGATAGATAGATAGATAGATAGATATGAAGGAGGGAACAGACTGAGATAGATAGATAGATAGATAGATAGATAGATCATGGACAGAATTAGATAGATAGATAGATAGATAGATAGATAGATAGATAGAAAAGAAAGAAGTAGCTATAAATAAATAAAGAAATGTGTTACAAAGAAAGAAAGTGTTATATCCAGACTGTGTTGTTATTTAACACATATCTGAAGAAGAAATTTTTCCATACCTTTCCCAGTAAATATAACGAACCCGGAGGAATTCGAACATGGTTCGTCAATTTCTCTTTTAGAGCCGCTAGCTGTTACACTGTGTGCACACTCAAGCTCAGTATATTGCCTCCTTGCTGATATTGTTATACTAACTATAATCATGTATGCTGAAGATAAATTGGTAATAAAAACTATGTATTCCACTTCAAAGGAAATGTACACAGACGATAGATAGATAGTGCTATGGGATCTTACCCATAATAATAATAATGGACTATTCCATACTTAATAAAAACTGCGCCTCAGGAGTAGGCAAGGAGGGAGTCAGTAGTTCAAGTCGAGTCGAGAGTCGAGTCAGAGGCAGTCCGAAACAGATTCGCGTTCAGACTTACTGCAAGACATTGGAATAGTGATACTGGTCGAGACTACATTGTTCTCTCTACTAAACCTAATTGTTTATACTAACACTTCTACTTCTTTGTATATATTCGCGTTCTTCTTTATTGGTTCTACCTTGGACTATCACCGTGGTACAAGGAACCGGACCATAACAGATAGATAGATAGATAGATAGATAGATAGATAGATAGATAGATAGATAGATATGAAGGAAGAAAGAGACTTAGAAAGAAAGAAAGAAACAAACAAACAAAGAAGTGACAATATTTTAATAGGTTCGGTATTCAGCTTTCTTGGGCCTGTACCTATTAAATTATTAAAATACGCTTGCCAATTCTTTACGTTGTCTCGACTGCATATTCATTCTATGTTCCACGATCTCCTAGTTCGTTAATAATTGAAAGATTACAAGAAAATAGATTTTGATAAAAAAAACCCTTTCCCATCATGATGCCATCTATTGATAAAGTTCCGCATTTATCGTAAGAATCCTTTCAATTTTTGAATAATCTTTCAGCTTTCTGATATGTGGACATTTTTAAATGAGTTATGTTGTTCTACAGAAAGATGCTGAGAATACCATAGACCGAACACGTGAACAACGACGAAATTTTAAATACAATGGCAACAAAAAGGACAATTATACTTAATATCAGGAAGAGACAGTTGAAATTTCTGGGGTACGTAATGAGGAAAGAGTGTTTGGAAAATTTGATACTCACAGGACAGATTGAAGGTAATTGAAACAGAGGAAAGCAATACATAACCTACTGATGGACTATGAGTGAATGGATGGTAGATCAGGTTAAAGGGAAGATGGTAAAAAGAGAAAATTTATTGAGAGCTACAAAGGAGAGGAAAATGTGGAGAGTGATGGTCGTCTAAGTCTTAAAGGGACACGTATTACCTTTATGATTCTTGTATACAAAATATGTTGCGGCATTATAAATTATCACTTTATATTCCCGACCACAACTTGCGACGGTGCTAATTTGGTATAACACACTTACTATTTTTCAAATAATTTTCTCCACGGCACGGTTATTTTGTTTCAGCTTAATAAACTTATATGAAATTTACCGAGGGAACTTTTTTTTTTAATCAATTCACCCCAGGCAAGTAGATGATGCAACTAAGCTGAAAAAGGTGAAAAGGAATGAGGAGACTTTAGAAGGAATCGGGAACCCAATACTAAAAAGAAAACAAGGGATAAACCTCTACTCCTGTTCAAAAGATAGGTGAGGAGTGTGAACCGAATGACTATCTGTACGTGTTTGAATCGGCGTGCCTATTTTATATGTTGAAATATTTCCACTGGCAAGTTTATTTCAGACAGTATTTGTATTTGTATAATAAAGCACCCGATGAAGAATACATTGCGAAATCAAGCAAAATCACAGCTTATGCAGATGCATAATGTGTAAATGAGATCTGCATTGGACGTAATCTTTTTGACTGGTAAATACGCCATTGAAAAAAATTAGCGCTAGAGACGAGCAAACCATTCGTTCTAGTTAATGTGTTCAATCCTTATTTGGTATATCACAGTAGAGACATTGGAGCAAACAAAGCTGAAATATATAAATACCCATGAGCACTTAACATTGCAATATGGATAGCGAGCCAATCATGGAGATTAATTTTCGCGAGTGTCCAAATATGGTGGCCTTGCTCCAAACTAAGCTACGTTCAGTACAAACGAATGCGTACAAGATGATATATCATTTTTTTTTTTTTTAAATATATTCATGATAAGATGCATAAATCTTTTTATAGTTGGACACAAGTTTCTGTGCTTTTAGAAGCATTGGCCCGCATCGAAATGAATGCACTTAAATACTCCTGCTTTCATGGGAATGCGCGTGTGTGTCAGTGTGTGTATATGTGTGTGGCTGTTTGTTGTTGAATGAACGAACTGAGGAAGATTGAAGAAGCAAACAAAGAAATGATTAAGAAAGAAAGAAACTTTTAATTAATATATGGGAAAAGAAAAAAAGAAAGAAAGAAAGAAAGAAAGAAAGAAAGAAAGAAAGAAAGAGAGAGTTATATTTTTGGGTAAACTGATATAAACAAAACATGAGAAACGGAAGGGGAAAAAAAGAGTCAAAAATTGTATAAGTCAAAAAGAAAGAAAGATAAAAAGAAAGAAACTTACAATTAATATATGTAAGAAAGAAAGAGTAGGGAAAAAATGATGTTTACATAGCACGAGATATGGTAGGAAGTTTTACAAATGATATGAAGTAAAAAGAAAGATAGATAAAAGAAAGAATCTTATAATTAATTCAACGGGGAAAAGAAAGAAAGAAAGAAAGAAAGAAAGAAAGAACAGAAAGAGTTATATGTGGGGAGAAACTGGTGTTAAAGAAGCAAGGGGAACAGGAGGAGGAAAGGGTTATAAATTATATAAAGCCAAAATAAAGAAAGAAAGGCACTTATAATTAATATATGGTGAAAGGAAAGAAAGAAAGAAAGAAAGAAAGAAAGAAAGAAAGAAAGAAAGAAAGAAAGAAAAAAAAAAAGAAAGAGTTATATGTGGGGAGAAAGTGGTATTAAAAGAAGGATGGGAAATGGGAAATAGAAAGTGTTATAAATTATATAAGGCCAAAAGAAAGAAAGAAAAAAAAAAAGAAAGATAAAAAAGAAGAATCTTATAATTAATATAACGGGAAAAGAAAGAAAGAAAGAAAGAAAGAAAGAAAGAAAGAAAGAAAGAAAAAATAGAAAGAGTTATATGTGGGGGGAAACTGGTGTTAAAGAAGCAAGGGGAACAGGAGGAGGAAAGAGTTATAAATTATATAAGGCCAAAATAAAGAAAGAACAAAAGAAAGAAAGACACTTATAATTAATACATGGTTAAAAGAAAGAAAGAAAGAAAGAAAGAAAGAAAGAAAGAAAGAAAGAAAGAAAGAAAGAAAGAAAGAGTTATATGTGGAGAGAAAGTGGTGTGAAAAGAAGGATGGGAAACAGGAGGAGGAAAGGGTTATAAATTATATAAGGCCAAAAAAAAAAGAAAAAAAAAGAAAAGAAAGATAAAAAAGAAGAATCTTATAATTAATATAACGGGAAAAGAAAGAAAGAAAGAAAGAAAGAAAGAAAGAAAGAAAGAAAGAAAGAAAGAGTTATATGTGGAGAGAAAGTGGTATTAAAAGAAGAATTGGAAACAGGAAGTAGAAAGTGTTATAAATTATATAAGGCCAAAATAAAGAAAGAAAAAGAAAAGATAGATAAAAAAGAAGAATCTTATAATTAATATAACGGGAAAAGAAAGAAAGAAAGATAGAAAGAAAGAAAGAAAGAAAGAAAGAAAGAAAGAAAGAAAGAAAGAAAGAAAGGCAATAAGAGATTTCTGAGAGATTCTGAATAAAAGTAGAAGAAAAACAAAATTACTAAATAAATAAACTAAGAAGTAATTGAACTACAAAATTAAAGTGAGGAGACAAACTGAAGGGGAAAATGAATAAAGAAAGGCAAAAAGAATCTACATTTTCATTAAAGAAAGACAATGACCGTAAAAGTCACCCTAATGAAAGCCAGAGAATAAAACAGAAAGAAAGAAGGGATAAAACAACAACAACGAAAAAAAAAGAAATATTGTGGGGACAATGAATGAACAGAGGCAAATGGGTAAACACAATGACTGATGATAGAATCCAAAAAAGTATTCCCCTCTTGGAGTCAGTCAGTCCACGTCCTCTTACGCAAAAGATGGTGGCATCAACTGGAGACATGATGGAGCTGGTGTCGGTGTAGGAAACTATAGGAGAGAAGTGCTGGTAAGAAGAGGATAAGTGGGAGGTGGAGAGAGTGTGTGATCTAAAGAAGAAGAAGAGGGAAGAAGGGGGTGAAATAACTGACAGATAGAACGAGAAATAGCGCCTAATGCTTTGTCTAGTGAGTGACGGGTTAAGAGAAATCAGAAATTAAATATAACTAGTAATTGAAGAAGTTTTTGCCAAGCTCCTAGCGTTTACCTACTGTATTTTGATTAAATGACTTTAAAGTGTCATTTCCAAATGAACATATGCAAAAGTAATACACACACTCCTTCCTGCGCATTGTCTCTTTGTTTCTCCTCTATCCTAAACAATAATAATATTGAATATATTTTTTTTAAAGAGTATATTTAATCACATCTCCCTGATAACTGTCGCGATCAGTAAAAAAGCTGTGTCATGGGAAAAACTGTCCTTTTGATACTACGCCTTATTGTGTGCATGTTTTCAATACTTCTTCATAGAATTCAACCTGAAAGGGAAAGATACTACGAAAGATCTAGTATGGACCAACTATAGTTTAACGACTAACTGACAACATGTATGATTATAGAATGTGTAAAATCCTGGAAATGAAGAGATTCCAGCAATTAGAGGATTTATGAAAGGCCCACGAATCTATCCATAGGGAGAAGAGGCGGCATATCCTCCTAGCGCAAGCAACAATGTCTGCACTCTTGCTACTTTACAAGAAAACGAAACCTAAAATTCGTTGCCTTGATAGAGATAGTGACTTCGATCTAGTAGCATATTTATTAGAAGGAGACACTCTAAGAAGCGTCCTTGTTATTACCTGCATAGGTTACGTATTGTGCAGCACCCTTGATCTACACAATGAACTTGGTATTCTTCCTCTTTTACGGGAGATCATGGCTCCTATCTTCGTACCCCCTCATGACCTTTAGCAGCGATTCTCCCTTTGCCCAACTCCCGCCTCCTGTTCTGCCATCCATTCACACAAGTTGTCAGGTCGCTGCCTTAAACTATCTATCTTTCCCACGATACGTTCTGCAAGAAATAACCCCCCCTTCTGTATTATATGTCCAAGAAATATTCTTTTGTTCTTTTTGTTACCATTTTCTTACATGCTCTGTCCATGGTATTCACAGTAGAACTTCATTTATATGACCTCTAGTTTCTTGGCCCAACCTGTGCCTTATCTAAGACGCAATCGTTTGAGCTAATAAAATACTTCACATTTTAGAATGAGTTATCAGTATATATATTACTTATACTGGATATAATGCCCTCATCTTTGCGGTGGCTATCAAAACGTTTCGGTCATTGTGCCCTTCTTCAGATATCTGTCGACCCGGGTAACCTTCAGGAAATTTCGAACTGGGCCATATATTTAAAATACGAGCGTAGATTGTTCTCATTCCGCTGTCCATATAAAGGCATATCTTGTCTTGTTGTTTTTTTGGCACTGCTTATTTATTGTTAATCTGTTTCCACTGAGTTGGTCCTGGCTGTTGAAGTCACAATTATTCTATGACCAAATTCATGAACTAATAGCCTAGTGTATTAAAGTGTTAACTCGTGAATTTTGAAATTGCCAATGGGGTTACCGGCATCAACAGAAACCTGTTCAATTGAATTCTGATGATAAGCATGATTGCAGACCTCAAAAAGAAAGACATTAAATGCCTAAGACTTCTAAATTTCGTGGGGGTGATATCTTCAAAACAAGTGTTGCATTCTTCTCTCTCGATCGGTGATCGATAGTTGTTTTGATTCAAAATAAAAGAACTACAACACAGGAATTTTTTTAGCTAGTTTATTAACGTCGATGAATACACCTTCTAACTAGCCAATGGGGTCGCTCTCTCACTCCACTGGGGAGCAGTTTCCAGACACGAAAATCAACACGTTTACATTGATTGACTTGTAAAAACAAATTCCCCCAAATCCCTTTCTCTATCTATTGTTCCCACGCTGGCCGAGTCAGTTAATAGCGACTTCCTTGTTTTCTCTTCCATCTGACCTCAAAGGTCAAACTCAGGAAGTCGGAGCAGCGAAACACCCCCTAAAAAGAATAGCCTGCTAAAGTATTATTTAACACAAGGATCTTTATCATTCTTGATCTTTGATAACGCCCTTGAGAGTTCGTCTTCACTAACATTTCCACATTTGCATTTGATGATCGATGAAAAACACGATCGGTATGGCTTATACATTTGGAAGTTACTCAAGGACTTTTTTTTTCAGTGAATTTTTCAATTATTACCGCCATCATAGCCGTTAATTGCTTTCAAATTTGCTTCGTTCGTCCTCTTTCTATACGGAATCTCTTTTACGATCTGCCAGGCAAGTGAGATCTGTTTGTTTTGCGCTGTCGGTGCTCTCTGGGTTTGTTTGAGTACAATACATTTGTTTTGATTTACAAGTTTCAGCTAGTTCTCTTTTGGCTTGATAAAATCTCAGATCAGCTCTATTTTCAGTATTCTATAATTGTTTCTGTTTCTCAGGAAACTTCTGGCCCAAATTTCAGTCTAAACGGAATTCACTTGACGGCACCTTCTCGATGCAATTAGATGAAGTTATCATAGTCGTTATTTGGAGAGTTAGTTTCGATTTCTACTTGAAGAATATATACGTAAGCATATATGTATATTTAGGCAGAATGTTTTCATTCAAGCATGTTGCGTTAAATAATGTTGTCCATTTATTTTAGTTTTAATACTTTCAAGTCCACGAATTAATTTCTTGGTGACTGTGGAAAATTGATGAGGAAAAATTCAAAAATTTACTTTCAAATAAGTTTTATTTTCCCCAAGTAATTTCATTTTCATCTAAGATCACCTTCAGGAGTTGTATATCTATGCATGTGTTATGCGTTAGCACCGTAAATTCAAATTATCTTTTTACCTCTATGCAAGGGAGGTAACTTACGTGACTTTTTAAAAAGTTTTTAGTTGTCGTATTTTAATTTAATTTATATATGCACGCAAAAGAACCTCTGCTAAGATTATGCCCATCTTGCAAGGAGTCACAGCAGCTAATTTCGAAAATTTGACGATCAAATTCACGTTTCAAATATTGTTCTAACGAGTCTAACTTGGTGGCCATCAATCTACCACATATGTACTATACCAAGCGGAAGTTTCCTGAAGGAGAATAATGACCAGAAAGCGCATCTCAAAGACTACTGCTAGAATCATTTTCGATTCTTATATGATATGTCACTGATAAAAGAAAACACAACTCAAGTATTAGTTGAGTTTTTTATAGACCAGTGTTCACTGATTTCATCACCTACTTAGTAACTCAATGTTTTTTGTATCATCTTAAATCTAATCTTAGTAAATGCAGCAGAATCCTGTGAAATGGATCACCAGTTGATCGGGGGATTTATCTGAGCCGAAATATTTTAATGATTTACATTGTTTATTTGGGACCTTTTAATGGACACAGCGGATTCAAACTAATAAAGCATAAGTATTAGAATTAAGAACCGGAGATATATTGAAAATAAGAGACAGTGTAAATCCTGATTAGCGGCCATCTTTTCGAACAGTTTTTATCCAAGAGGATTTGGGATAAATTTTAAAAGTATGATAAAAGAAAATTACTGATTTCAACTTTGGGATAAGCTAGAAATTTCATCGCAGTCAATTTAAATTGTTAGGAAGGGATTTGCTGACAGATTTCTGTGATGTGATGATTGGCCAAAGGGAATGAATAGTTAAAATGCGCAGTCTGTAGAATTTCCAGCTTAATTCCTTGCATTGTTAATTGCCGATTTCCTTTCGTTACATTCAAGATATTCTGATGTTCTGCAACCTATTTTTCAGACAAAGCATTACTTTCTTCCATCGTAGCCATTCTCTTACCTAAAGGAAAGCATCCATTCAATTCTGGTAGCGAGATGCTCTTACCAGCATTTTCTCTTCTTGGAATCACGTGTCAACAGGAACTCACCTTAGTTGAATGTCAGCATCTCACATTGCAATTTGGTCTTTTTCCCAGTCTCACAACATTTATTACTCATGCATAGCTACGGTATTCTAAATCGAAAATTGCTTACCTACTTGTATTAATCTGACCATGACATAGGTAGATATTACGGGAAAATAAATGTCATTGTTACCAAATGTGGCTGGTCATTTTTTTGCCTCAGCAGTGTATGTACATTCAGAACTATCTAACGAAGCAGTTTTTTTTTTTTAAACATAAAATGATAAATGTATTTTTGAAGTAACTTAATATGATAGCAAAAGTTGTCCAACGCAGATTTTCAAAGTTTTTATTGTTTACAAGATTCTCAATTGATCCCAAGACCTCTAGGTTATTTATTAAAGCAGCATAATTTGAAAAATTCTAAAGAAAAAGTTTTCTTTATTCACTTTCAATATCATATTAAATTCTTTTACCGACTTTTTTGCAATATAAACGCATACAGATGTATAATGTTTTCGGTTTTTTTAAATAATAAAAAGAAAACAACATCATGCTGTGAATCTGCTATTATTCGATATACAAATACTAGAACAGGTGGAATTTTATAACAAATTCAGTTAACCATGGCTAGGGTTATAACCAAAATAACTGAAGAGAAATAAAATATTCTCGATCTCTATATATGCCTAAATATATATATGCACACACGCACACACACACACACACACATACATATATAAATGGATACTGAGGGCAACAGACATCGGCGAAAGTCTGTTTCTTTTTTAAACACAACCGTCACATTGTGACGACGGCGTATAAGTCTGAAACTGGCTGTTGGAGTTGAGTGCTGATCTCAATGTCTATTTGTATTCACATACGTTTCAGTCCTGATATTGAGCACTTTAATCCATAAATATAACCAATAATATTCGTTTAGCCAATAAATAAAACCGTGCTCATGTGTGACGTCACGAGCTGCGACGCGATTCCGCGACTTAGTCGTTGCTTTGAAATTTTTTATGCAACAAAGAATCCTATCCTTATCGTTTCGTCCGTATATTGGTTGATATATTGAAAAGTAATCGTCATATTCGATAATAGCTTATGTAAGTCGGAAGCTTAGATTGGATTTAAACATGTATCAACATGGTGATTTACATTCGTCTTTCAATGATAATGTTATTAAGCTTATCAGACAATATGAAAGGAACTTACTTAAAATGAAAAGTCAAAACTTGTCTATATTATTTAATGAAACATACATCAATATATATATATATATATATATATATATATATATATATATATATATATATATATGCAGTATATATACCAAATTTAAGAGAAGAAATTGCTAAACGATTAGCCGAAATCGATTGTATCCCCACAGACCATTTGTACAGTTTTACACCCCTATATCCAGAAAAGACGTCACTTTTACGAATACAAGAAAAATTAATAAAATATTTAAACGCAGGGCTTGTGAGTCGTCATCAATGTAAGTTGTATCAAATAGATATTGCTGCACAAATAAACAATTACATACACACACATACACGCATATACACACACGCACGAATACACACACACACACCCATATATATATATATATATATATATATATATGTGTATGTGTATGTATATATATATATATATATATATAATCCATGTGTATTTTACCACTAAGCTACGAGAAGCTAATATAGCAAAGCAAAAATATAAACATATAATAAATATAGACATTGAAATGTCCCAACGAGATATGTGGATTTCTTAACTAGACAAACTGAGTCTTGTTTTACTGCACTCACACACACACACATACACACACACACACACACATATATATATATATATATATGTATGTATGTATATATATACACATACACACACACA